TTCCGAATCAGTTGTTTCAATCGATGATGATGATGTTAATGTGGCAATACGATTTGATTCGGCTTCAATTTTACGACGACATTCTGAACGAATTGCTGTCAACAAACGTGGTGGTCGTGGTTTGGTCAATTTATTTCGTTGCCAAACACCTTTCGGTTGATATTGTCTGGCTGAATGTAAAAAACGTTGTGTCTGTTCGGCCATCGATATATAACGTTCACTAAGAATACGTTGTGGTAATGTTGATAATCGATTTATAGTAGCCATTGATAACGATTTATGTGAAACATTATTAGTGGATAATGATTTTTTTGGTTGTGGAGTTGCATCTTTCTTCGAATCTTCGATTGTAACTTTACTTTGTTTACGATTTTCTTTACCATCAACAACCGCAACATTTTTTGATTTTTCATCAATAGCTATTTTATCATTGGTATCATTACCATCATCTTGATTCAATGTACGTGAAAATCTTTTCCAATATTTTTGTGAACGATCATTGTTGTCTATTGTTACCATTTTTTTCGTTGTAGTTTCGGTATTTTTCTTATTACCTTGATGACGTAAAATACCAAACATTGGTGTTGGTTTACAATTTTTAATCTTTAATTTTCTTTGTTCAGCTTCATTCATTGGCGGTGGTGTTTTCATTATATCAGTCGATTCTATATCTTCGGGTAAACATTCATTTTCATTATCAGCAATTACAATACGAACAACAGGACTTGTAACCAAATATGATTGATCAGGATTTGAATCAATCTCTGATCGATCATTAACATTATCAACGATCGAAGATTTTGGCTGTTCCAAATCATCAGTAGATATTTCATGGAAATTATCATCCGGTTCTTCATTTTCGGATAATAAATCTTCATCAATATTATTATTACCAACACCATTGGTAACGATATCTGGTTTGTCAGCTATTGTTTCATCACTATTTGTTGACAAATTTTGTTTATCATCAACAGTATCTGTTGATTCTATTGTAATCTTTTCTTGGTTTGACAATTGACAATCATCATTACCATTTGAAATACCATTATCATCATTATTATCATTATCATTGTATTCGTGATTGACCACTTTTTGTATCCAAAAAAAGAAAAATTAGTTACAAAAAACAAAATTAATCATCATCATTATATTCAAATTTACAAACTTACAAAAATAATTATCACCACCATCATTTGATTGATGATTATCCATTTTATTAAAATCAAAATAATGTTGTGCTTCATATTCCCAAACATTAGCTGGATTCGATTTCAATTCTTTATCATCATTATCATTCATAATTGTTGAATCCAATTCATTATCTTGAATTTTGGCCATTATTTTAAATCGATTAATTTTCATCGGATAAATTCTTCAAAAAAAAAACGAAGATCAAAACAGAAAAAAAACAAATTTCCAAAACGGCTTCAAAACACAAATCAAACATCAAGAAATTTACTTTATTTATTTAAAGAAAAGTATACAAGTATCGAAAGATTACAAACACAAATATTTTCCCCAAACAACGACAAAAAATATTTCCTTCCATTTCAATGGTTACTCAAACCAGCTCGTCTGTTCTTCGTTATTCACCCTCCAGCAGCTCAAATAACTTCTCCATCTCATCATCATAAACCGCTTCCTCAAGTCTATCCCTCAAGTCAATCAGGATGCTTTCGGCGGTCTTTTTAATCGTCTTATATTGGATATATGCCTGTGTTCTTTGATCCACCTGTAACATTTCCATATACTTCTTTCGATTTTATAAAGAAAAATATAGAAGAAATTACAAATTGAATGAAGTAGAAAAATTATTTATAAATGTGTTAGTGTTTTATGTTGAATCTGATATGTTGTTTTGTGTGTTGTATTTTAGAAGTTGTGTGTTCGTGTTCGTATATGTTTGTATTTCTTTGCAAAATTCTGTGAAGTGTTGTATTGATAAGTTTGTTTATAATTGTTTTCTTTAATTGCTTTCTAATTTTTTTCTCGTGTGTGTAAGGGTAGTGTTTTTGATCGGGATTGTTTTGTAAGCGGTGTTGGTGATGATATTAGTGAGATTGATGATACAACTTTCTATGTTTTATTATGTTTCTAAGTTGTTGAAAATTTTGCGCGAAACCGGTGGCATTAGGGGAGAGTAGTGTAATGTCCATGTAGCTGCTACGTCCGTAATTGTGTTGATAGGTGGGTGGGGTTAGGTGTAGTGAGGACTGTAAGATCGAATTGATATATTAGTTCAAGGATTTGGAGCCTTTGGGGGTGTCGGCGCTACTGTTCCACAGAGTGTGGCTGCTGTTAGAGTCTCCACAGATGAAGATGGGTGTCGTTGTGTTGAGAGACAGGGGTCCGTGAACAGTGATTAGGGTGTGGAGGGAGAGGGGGATTGGGTGGAGGGGTTATTGTTTGTTACGTTGGGAATGGAAAGTTTGTTAAAGAATTTAACTTTTGTAGAGCTATCATAACATGTTCTATCCCATGTTTGTTTAATTTTGTTGCAGTATAGAGGGCAAAGGTCGGTGAGTGCTGGGTGTTCAGCGGGGAGATTTTTTTCGGCACAGTGGCAGCAGTTGAAATGAGAACAGTTTTTGATGTGTGTTATGAATTCAGATTGTTGATTGTTTATGCGTGTGGTCGAGAATGAAATTCCACAGTTTTTACATTTCTTACTACTCTTATTGGGACAATCCTTTGTTCGATGTTGGAAACTAAGACAATTGCTGCAGTGGCCTAGAAGAAATGTTTGTTCTGCAATACATGCAGANTTTTGCGCGAAACCGGTGGCATTAGGGGAGAGTAGTGTAATGTCCATGTAGCTGCTACGTCCGTAATTGTGTTGATAGGTGGGTGGGGTTAGGTGTAGTGAGGACTGTAAGATCGAATTGATATATTAGTTCAAGGATTTGGAGCCTTTGGGGGTGTCGGCGCTACTGTTCCACAGAGTGTGGCTGCTGTTAGAGTCTCCACAGATGAAGATGGGTGTCGTTGTGTTGAGAGACAGGGGTCCGTGAACAGTGATTAGGGTGTGGAGGGAGAGGGGGATTGGGTGCCATTTTCACCTGTGTGTATACGTTGATGTCGATTGAGATTAAATTTTTCTTTAAAACGATATCCACAAATGTGACAAACATGTTTGCGATTTGGTTGATGTGTTCGTTGATGAAGTAACAATTGTTTGGATGTATCGAATTTCAATGAACATTCCTTTTGAGTTTTTTTTTAGATAATAGAGTATATATAAGCATAGGTTTTAGTCATACACATGCATATACAGAAAACCAATTTGATTTGGTTTAATTTTAAAAATCGAAACGATGCTTTTTTTTTATTTGCAGAAAGATTCCTTATATCTTCTATATATAAAGAATAGTAGATTTTTAGTTTTATAAATTTTCATTTTTAATATTATTTTTTCTTCATTTGATCGATTATTATTATGTTTCTAATAATCAATTGAATCAAGTGAAAATAATTTTATATTATGAATTTTGATTTACACACAACACATTTACACATCCACCTGACACACACACAACATATATTTATGGCGTTCATTTGATTTGGAAATTATCGGATCGAAAAAAAAGAAGAAAATCTTTGGATTTTTTTTGGATATCATTTTTTTCCCATCTTCTTCTTCTGTGAGGCTTACTCTCTCTGTTTTGACAAATCTTCACTTTTACCAAAAAAACCAAAGTCAAGATTTTTTGTTTTTCATTTCAAAAACAAACGAAAAAAAAAAATTCATTATAATGATGATAATATGTTTGACAACAAAACAAAAAAACTTTTATAATTTTTTTGTTAATTGTAATTTTTAAATTGAATTGTAATTTCAAATGTGTAATGATTGTAATTGTAAAATTTAATAATAATAATAATTTTTTAAAATTAATAAAAAAAATTGTTTATTGTTTATTTTTTTTTCGTATATAAAAACTCGAATCTTATTTATCGACCACTGAATGATGGAGTATTCAATAATATTAATGTTAATTTTAATTTTAAATGAATATGCATCGGGAGATATTATTTTAAATGGAAAATATTATGAAGAACCGATACGTTTCAAATATAAACCTATCTATGGACTTGACAGTCGTTATAGATGTCCGAAATTGATTCATTCGAATTTTGAAGAATGTGAAATGAAAGCTAAAAAAGAATGGGAAATAATGATCGATGATTATGTAAGAAAATTGTAACTTTTTTTTTCATTATTAATAATAGTGTGTGTTAATGATGAAATATTTTGTAATTATTATTTTAAAAAAAAGTTTTACAAAACAAAAAAATTCTGTTGCTTCATATGGTCGGCTCTTGATTGCGAAACAGAAGTGGCCAATAAATGTAATCAAAATTTTAGTCAATCAGCTAAAAAAAATACTATTGATTGTTTTCGAGATGGTTGTAATGAATTTTCTTATGGTAGTTGGTCATGTTGGTGGACACCGAATAAAATAAATATCACATTAACGACAGTTATAGCTATTCTTATTGCTCTAGGTATTATAGTAAGTTGTTTTCTTGCTTTTAAACCACCTCGGTATGTNAAAAAACCGTCAATCGACAAATCGATTTTCAAGCATTAAGCTCGATATCGATTGATCTTGGCATTGATGGAACACATCGGTTTTGCCAGTTTCCAAGCAAAACAGTTTATACCGTCCAGTTGATTATTGATTAACAATTGTTAACAACCGAATCAATGGATAACGACGACGATCAAGATGACGATGACGATATTTGGATCATCGAATTTTTCCCGCGAAAAAAAATCAATCGATCGAAAATGGATGGTCGGTAAGTGAAGATTTTGTCTCATTGAGTTTTGCCTCGGTTTTTTTTTGATATCCAAAAACGAAAACATTCAAATTTTTTGATCATTTTTTCTATCATTTTGAACGCCATCCACATTTTACAAAAAAAAAACAAAAACAAAATCACTTTGCATGCAACATTCAGATCGTGTTTTTATCGTAGATCACCATATTTTGATGTGTAAACGTCTTGATGGTGTTTGTCGTAATTCATAAACAACATTCGAATTTGTCATAGTTTTAGCCATATACTACACACACACAAATGTTTTATCGATTTTTAAAAAAAATCTTTCAATCTAGTAATATTGTCCAGGTCCTTCTCTCTACGATATTTCTCCTTGGGGTGGATGCCTCATGTATTATTTGATAGTACACACACAGGAGAAATATTCTAAATATTATCATTACTGATCTGATTTGGATTTCTGTTGATAATTATATGTAGTAATTAATTAATTAATATTTAATAATGATGATAATGTTTGAAACAAAAAAAAAACTTACTTTTATAATTTTATACTTTTACAAGATATTCAATACGGCCATCGGGTTTGATACGTTTGACATATATATAAATATATATAAAAATATATAATATACGGTATACCGTTAGTCAAAAATATTTGTGTTCATCATGTCTGAACTTTCTTTTCTCGGTTTATCGGTGCCCGATAAAAAAGATGTCAACCAAGAAAAACAATCCAATGATGATCAGATGAATTTCGAAGAGAATTCCAGCCCAGAATCAAACTCAATAAATTCGAATATGGCTGAAAATCAACCACCAGCAAATCTGATAGATTCTTCTTTTAAAATGGCTGATATATCAATAATTCATAAACAAGATTCGAATTTTAGCCATATACTACACAGATATAGAATATCGATTTTTTTTTAAATCTGTCAATCTAGTAATATGGTCAAGCTCTTCTCCACGATATTTCTCCTTGGGTCTGCCTCTGCCCCCCGTATTATTTGATAGTACACCAGGAGAAATATTCTTATTCTAAACAATCATTACATTTTCTTTGCTGGTCTGTTTGGATTTCTGTTGAGTAAGATGAAAGGTGTATATATAGAAAACCAAATTTGATTTGGTTTATTTCATTCAAGAGTGTCTTAGTATCGTAATGACGATTCAGAACATCTCGACGTTTGAATGATGCACTAATTATATTCCGTGCATTTGTATGGACGTCCAGTGATTGTTGTGGTTGATCTTGTTAATTATTGTTGATATCTTGACTATTGGCGTATTGATATATCTAAATCCAAATACCAAATTAAATTTAAAAAAAAATATAAAAAAAAAGATGAATCAAAATTATCAACGAATAATAATAATCGTTAATGTCTAAAGTATTGGAAAAATTATCAAATTCTAATGTACATATTTGTTTCAAATGGACTCATATTGGTTTATTAGGCAAAATGATATGGCCGATACACTTGCTAAAGATGGTACTAAACTTAATCATATTTCTTATCATACTAGTATGTAATAAATATCTGGACGATATTAACTTTCGGATGGCCAATCCTATGACAATATATGGTGCACTAGAAGAAGTTTTTTTTTATAATCCTCTTTTCCTTTTAACTTGCTTTTCTGGTTTGATGGATGTTTTGTTAGGAATGTTAAAACGTTGAACAAGTTTTTTTTTTGCAAAATGGACTTTCTTAGATGGTCTGCCTCTCTTCCTCGGTAATTCCATATTATCATCCAGTTCGACATAAGAGAGCCGGTTTGAGACGATGGAGACCGACTGATTCAATACCATTTTGAGTTTTGATTTCAATATGTAGAATCGTAACGATTGATGACTTTGAAAGGTCCGGTGTAAGGTCTTTCTAACGATTTACGATTGTCCTTTAAAATAAACACGTATTCGGCTCTATATCACACACCATCTAACGCAAACACCTGACACACACCCACACACACAACATATAATTGTGGCGTTCATTTGATTTTGAAAATATAAGATCGAAAAAAAAGAAGAAAATCTTTGATTTTTTGGATATCATTTTTTTCTTTTTTCTTCTATGAGGCTTACTCTGACAAATCTTCACTTACCAAAAACCAAGTCAAGATTCTTTTTTTCATTTCAAAAAATCCATTAAATTAACCACCAACCACCATCATCGGGATATATTTGGTCAACAAAAAAAAAACTTTTATAATTTTTTGTAATTTCAAATGTAATGATTGTAATTTGATAATAATGATTTTCTAGAAAATTTTGATAATAAAAAAAATTATTTTTTACAAAACAAAAAAAAA